AATAAAAATCTTTGAAAAATAAATGTTGCACAAGCACTGCTCCTTTTAACAATGCCCATGTTCACAAGCACAACTACTGAGACTTCTGTCAGATCATACTTCAGTAATATGGCCTAAAATGAAAAAAACATAATTGATACATATACATAGATAAATGAAATACAGCCTGAAAACCCGAGTAGCACAAAATTACACAAAATTTCCAAAGTCCTAAGCCATTGTAGTATGGCTCTGCAGATAAAGCTCAAGGCTTTTGGTTTTTCTCTCTCTTTGGGTGAAAGATCAGATCCAGCCATTACCACGTACCTTCATATTTTTAATGTAATATTTACTTGTATTGCTGAAGAAAAAGAAAACAGATGCCACATCTCTAGTAACTTAAAATCTGTTTATTAACATGCAACTTTAAATGAGTTTTAATGCACACATTTGGGTTTGAAACCATGATGTTTTGTGCCAGTGCTTCGGTCAAATTATGGAACAGTTACTGTAATTCCAGTCTACCACCAGATGTCACTGTTCTTCCCCACAGCGAAGCCCTGAAGCTTCGAATCATTTTCGGCACAAAAAGAAAGAAAGCCTCAGTGCTTCACAAGGCTTCGTTCGCCCATCACTATGTAGGTTTGACTGTAGGTCCTACAGTCAAACCTACATACTTACACACAGGTTGCTTAGTCTTCGACAGGCAAAAAGAAACGTCCTTCACTGCTGTCATACCGTCTGAATTTAACACAAAGTTCGTGACTCTTTACTGTTTTAGTTTATGGATTCCAGCACTGATTAAACTGATGCTCGGTTTGAAAACTAGAGACTCAGAAGTTGGTTTTCTACTTAAACCGGCAGCATTCGTCTTTGAACGAGGACACTGAGGGGCGTGGTTAAAATGTCAACATACTCTACCTTTTAAAAACTGTTTCCAGCTGTTCTTCCTCGATCTGACCTGCGTGTCGCTGCGTCCACTGCCTCCAGATGTCACAGAGAGTGTCCTCAGTGGGTTTCTTCCACAGACACTCTGGCCTTTGTCCGTGTCTGCTCCCACGCAGCCACTTGAACTATTTCCTGGTCTGAGTTTCACTTCGCTGCAATAGTTTGGAGCTCAGGATGCTTGTAGAATCACATCATATCCAGCAGATGGCATCGTTGGGCCACAAACCACCAGCTGATAGACAACCTGTCTGTCTGACGTTTATATGGAGCGTTCATCAATACCACAATCAATAATCAATAGATCACTTTATCAAAAATCTGTCTGTCTGAGAATCTAAATCACTTCTGAATTCCTCTGGTTGAAAC